CTCACATATATTATACTTCTCTCTATTAATTAGGGTTACGTACGACTTCTTACTTAGTTAACTACCTTACTACCTTAACTAATAGTATACTCGTAAGACAAGAGGACGACACTCTCTCTCTCTCTCTCTCTCTCTCTCTCTCTCTCTCTCTCACACACACACACACACACACTTACAGAATAAATGAATATCCTCACACTCATTCCTTCTTTTACAAAAAAGTCATACTTCAAGAGCAGTCTTTATGTCTATCTACTAATGAAAATTTTCCAAAACATAAATAATAACCTGTAAATAATTAGAAAGTTATTTACAGCACTTGTTGTAAGATATCCAGGTTGATATAAAATATCATATACTTGCCGTGTCAACATTAATCAGGTAGACATTCTAACTTATTCCACTCTGCCAAACAAAGAAATACTAAGATTTTTATTCCATTTTTTCAACTAGTGTTCAGAAATACGGATAGGCCAAGTGAACCGGCCGGTCACTAAACCGAATTGGATTGGCAAATCAGCCGTTGGGTTAGAGAAAATAACAAAAAAATGTAAAAAAATAAAAAACAAGTTTTTAGGGGTGCAAAAAAATAGACCATTACATTAACGCTTTTTTTTTTGTTATAAAAAAATGCAAATATTGAGAATTTGATTTATGCCTGACTGTTACACATTCATTTCATAATCAAGATGAAGTCTAAATTTCAAATAATTACAATAAAATGGATCTATAGGTAAGAGCATACCCATATCAAAAATATAACTCCAAAGTCCAAAAGATACAAACCTAACACCAAAACAAATAGCAATATGAGTCATAGTTGTTGGAATCCTATTTCTGCAGTGGAACTGTTGAGACAAATTGTTGAGTCGTGAGATTTACAGGTCTGAGGGTTCAAATTCTTAAGAGCCTGGCCAACTATACATGCTCCATCGGTTCATGAAGGAATCGGGCTTAGTGAATCTCTCCTAACCCAAGATTCCTAAGTCTGCCACCATCCCAATTGAAAAAAAAAAAAACTCCTTCCCTGTCTCCCTTAACATGTACTTGAACACCTACATCTCCTTGGAATTTGGTGAGGTCTTGCTGAAATTATCTCTAGCATATTTTTTATGTTTCATTTATTTTTTTACCATTCACAAATTACTATTCACGGTTCTTGTTCACATGTTATTGTTTGCAAGGGAATTTCTACGATTTATATGTTTAGAGCAATATGGTGCTTTCAAGAATTGTTTGGAATTATTAGGTCTGAATTCAGAGGATGATTTAGACTCGGATATCCTGGGATCAAATAGGTCACACGCCAGAAACTCCATTCAATTAGAGGAACGGTTGGTCCAAGTGCTTGAAGGCCCTGAACGAACTATTAACGTAGATGTTCTTGATTTACTCAGATATTATAGCCAGGTGACTTCCTTGACTGGCTTGCAAGTTTCAAACAAATTTTTCAATGGAAGGATATGGGGAGCATAAAAGGTACAATTTGTTGGTACTAGTGTGGTGGCAGCATATACAAGTTGATCACACAAGAAAAGGAAAGAAAGAGGTTTGCAGTTAGGAGAAGATGATGAGGTATTTGAAGGGAAAATTTCTGCCCACAGTTTATATGCAAGAAAATGTGGAATAAACAATTGGGCCCAAATTCACTATGGAGGTAAATGCTTCTTTATGTGTTTAGAAGGTTAAATATTTAAATATTTCATCATTGTCACAGTAAATAGTCTCTCCATCATCGTGTCCAGGTTTCTATTTCAACCCCAAATATTTTTATTTAATATTTGTTTTTCCAAGAAGCTCATTGAGGGGGTGAGATATTGCATTAGAAGATTAGAGAGAAGTCATAGGAATCAAGTACATGCACCCAATTAATCTTCCATGTGGGAATTTTCTTGACTTAGTACATTTGCGATGTTCCCTTTAACTATTAATCTAAATTGTTTTTCTCAGCTTTCCATTTATAAGGATGAAGAAAGCTCATTTGCAACAAGACTTACTACAAATTCTCTCATTGACATGGATCTAGATTATCTATTGCTAAATATGTACCCTCTCACATGCTTTACAGACATCATCATCATCGTCAAAGCCTTTTCCCAACTAATTGGCGTTGGCTACACGAATCCTGATCCGTTATTCTGCTCTATTAAGGGTCATATCCTCAGTGAGGCCATAAGTCCTTGTATCTTTACTCGCTACTTCCAACCATGTCCTTTTGGGCCTACCCCTTGCCCTTTTTTGAGCCTTCCACTTAAACTAACTTGCACCTTCTAACAGTTGTTGTACTGGGTCTGCGTCACACACGGTCAACCCACCTAAGTCTACTCTCTCTCATCTTATCGTCTATTGGAGCCACACTTAAATTTTTCTGAATGTATTCATTTCAAATTCTATCTCTTCTTGTCTTGCCACTCATCCATCTCAGCATCCTCATCTCTGCTGCACTCATTTTATGGGTATATTGTTTTTTGATCGCCTAACATTCTGCCCCATGGAGCAAAGCTAGTCTCACAATTGTCTTACAGAACTTGCCCTTTAGCTTCATTTGTATGTGGGGATCACATAAAATTTCAATTGCACATCGCCACTTCACCCACCCAACACTAATTCTATGTGCAACATCTTCCTCAATCTCTCCATTTCCTTGGATTATCAACCCAAGCTATCGAAAGTGTGCTCTTTTGGTATTTTCTAGTCGTCAATCTTAAGTACTTCATCGTCTCTACTCCTATTATTACTAAATTTACATTCCATATACTATGTCTTAGTCCGGCTAAATTTAAAACGTTTAGATTCTAGAGCATCCCTCCAAAGTTCTAACTTTATGTTGATATCGTTTCAGGTCTCATTGATCAAAACTATGTTATTTGCAAACAACATGCACTCATTTTATAGGTGCCTAGTTAAATCGTCTATAACTAAGACAAAGAGATATGGGCTCAATGTTGACCCCTAATGTAGGCCTATTATCACTGAAAATTCACTCATCTCTCCACTAATTGTTCGTAAGCTAGTTAGCGCTTTATCGTACATGTCTCTCACCAAGTCGATGTAGTGTCTGGAGACTCTTTGCTTTTTTAACACCCACCAAATCAAATCTCGAAGTACTCTATCATAAGCTTTCTCTAAATCAATAAAGACCATGTAGA